GATGCCTCGTTTGTGTAGAGAGCTTGGCTGTGTGCTCCCATCTGCTCCCCACAACGCAGTACACCACAACTTGCTGATGGCAACGGTATTCAGGAGTCCCACAGTCCTAGGTCTATAGTTCGTGATGGGATGCGAGCCCGTTGTGGGCATCACCCTTTTGCTGACGAAGCGGCCGCCACTCGTTGATGCACCATCAAAACTGTCTCTGCGGCAGAGAAAATCGCGGTGCGTTCTTGCCCTTTGCTGAAGGATCAAGGACAGAGGCACCCTCTTCAAGATTCGGATCTTTTCCGCTGGATCTTCGGCCCAGCAATGTGTGGAAGGCCGTCGACCTCGAAGGCTACCCCACGTGCCATTCTAGCTGATTCGTGGCGAGTATTCGATCAGTTGCAGCTGTTTATGTTGCCGGTCGCAGTACGGTACTGCCAAAGGCCTCCAAGCTTCCCACTCCTGTGTTTCTACTGACCGAGGACGGCTGTTCGAGGTCTCTCTCGTCCAAACCGATCCCTGGGGCCCCTTAATGCACCAGGGCACCCTTGCGAAGCGTGATCGGCCCATCTGCCCATCAGCCCAGTTGCCCTCGGTGTGGACTGCAGTGGCTGGTGACCTGGCCCTGGCCCACATTGTACCTACATCTCGGCCTCAGCCTGCCATGTGACATCTGCCATGTTGCACAACATGGTCCCTTTCCTGGGGGCGGGGAGGATTTGAGGGATAAGGCGTCGTGAGGATGAGCACCCGAGCTCGGCACCCGGTGTCCCTTCGCAGCCTCTTCGCAGTCACAGGGTCTGCCGGGTTACGTAACTTGCTGGGGGAGAGGCAGCATGGGATTTGTGCACGCATGCGTGTCGCATGTGTCGTGCACGCCGTGCGTTTCCGTGGACCCTGCAAGCACTTTCATTGAAGCCGGTGCTTCTCACTTCGAGCAGATCGAAGCAGTGAAAGCCAAGACTTTCCGTGCTCGGCTTCGCGAGCTGAAGCAAGGCCCTTGCCTTACATAAGCACGAAGCTCTGAAAGCTCAAGCATCTGCCGCTTGACCTGTGCAATTTGGGCCAACGCTCAGGCTCTTTCCTGCCACAGGTTCTCCCTTTGCAAACACCGTCGCCAATGGGGAAGCACGTTCATTGAGCTGCAAACAGGCGCAACTTGCTTCCAAAGCTTGGCAGATGGCACTTAGCCGCCTCCCGAGCCCATCTTTCGGGTGGAACTGTCATGAAGACCCTGGGAAGTCAGTGACTCGGAGCTGCACGGAAGGCACTAGAGGGCTTGCGGCGGCCCCAGAGTGGGCCCAGTCGCGGGCCCGGCCCTCGAAGCGCAAGACAACGTAGCAGCTTAGCTGCCGCGCTTTCTCCTAAACGGTCTGGGCTTTCCTGGCCTCACCCTTGTGATGGGCAACATGCATCCGTTGGATGCCTCAGCCTTGAGACTGCAAGACCCCAACGCTGCGCCAGGACATATGGATGTAAGGGGCAGCGCAGGACAGGCAGAATCCAGCCGTACACTTGAAAAAGAAGGCAGATATTCCGAGCTCGCCCCAGGCTCTGTATCGCTTCACGAGGAAGCTCAGTTCAAAGCCGTTCACAGGCAGGGCTGGATGATGAAGGTTTGGTCCCAGGCCCGGACGGCCGTGAGCCATGCATCCCCTCGTCCACTGGGGAGGCTTGCAATGCTTTGCACACTTCAAAGCCACACGGGCATGATGCGTTCAACGGCCGTTGGCCCAATCGGCCACCTGGCGAGCCTGTTCACATCGAACGGCGCCGGAAGCTAGGTCCTGCTGTGTTCTTGTGTGCTTGCGCTTGAGCAGCTTGAAAAGCCAGGCGCAGACTTCGGCGCAAGCCTTGTCACGGGCAGTTTGCAACTTGGGAGCTTCTGCTCTGAGGCCTGACGCCCGGCTGCTCCCCCATCCTGGGACTCCTGGAGCATCGTTTGACACGGTCACACATTTGTGTGCCACATGCGAACGGGCACACAACTAGCACCACATGCGAGCTCATCATGCTGCACTTGAGCGCAAGGCAGACGGCAGAACGAGCGCGCAGACCCGCAAACGAGCGCAGACTGAGTTTCGTCAAGTTCGTCAAGTTCGAGCGCCAACATATGTATCAAACCGAGGTCAGCACTGGGCTTTACGATTGCGGGCTTGCAACATGTGGAATTGCGGCTACCAAGACTATTGCCTCACAAGCACCTTCCCTACCTCTGAGGGAGGTGCGAGGACAAAGCAACAGGGGGGGGGGGGGGGGGGCGCGCAGCTCAGTGCTTGGCAGGCACCTTTGCTTCTTGTGCCCCACAGCTCCCAAGACCGAGGCCGGCGGGGTGGGATGTTTCTGTAGTTGGACTTCCAAAAACCTTCCAGACCCGGCTCTTCAGCTTCCGCCAGGAACTCACCCATCGATACTCGATAGGGTCCGTCGGCTGACCAAATCGGCACCAGGATCGGCGATTGTGAGCTATTTAAGAATTGTGTGTTGCATGTTGAGCTGAGATGTGGGCCAATGCCCCCCTCAACTTCCACGCGATAGTCTGAGTGGTTCAATTAGCAGCGATCCCTACGTGCCTACTACACGTATCGCCGGTCTCGGGAGGGAATTGAAATGATTGGGGAGGTGTTTGACAAATGGATGGGCTACAATGGAGGTTGGCATCTGATGACTTGAGTCGCCAGGAGTTTCATTGACACGTGGCCAGCGAGCTGTGCAAGGCCATCCCATTGGCACAGATCGACCAGGCAGACTCGTAACGAGTAGAACCGTCTGCTTTCAATCTTTGTCGCCTATCGTCACTATTGCCTCCATCACATCCCTGGTCTTCGGCCTGCTGCGAGACACTGCATCCAGCAAAGGCCGGCTCATGGTGCAAGCCAGGTGCCAGGGCTAAACCAAGGTGAGCCATACTATCACAGACCTTCCTTGGTGATATGTTCTTGTTGACGAGTCGCAGGCAGGTATGAGGAAACACAGAGGTGCGCCCCTCGGCTCCCTGCGCGAGGCATCCGAGACCTTCGCCGGCCCTTCTTAGCGCCTTCCCTGATCTTGTCGCACGGTGTGCTGCAGGAGCTTTGCGACCGGAGTTCCTGGAAAGCCAGATAGGGCCCCAACTGCAAAAACCCTCGATAAGCTTCCTAGACCCTAAGATCCTAAGATAGGCTCCTTTCCGATGTCTGGTCCTTTGACGCAGCCTCCAGCGTCCCCTCGAAACTGATCTGCAAAGCCGCCTGTGCAACGGCGGCTTTCAAGGAGACCAGGGGGGGCTTAGTCTTTCTCTGAAGGAGAATCTAGAGAGATGCCGAGTAGTCGAGGATGCCTACGTTTTTGCAGGCGCCGTGCCGTGGTCGTTCTATGTTGGGCCACTTGAGCGCGCTGTGACTCCAAGCAACTTTGTGCGGAGTATGAGGAGCGTGCGGAGTGTGCGGTTAGTGCAGAGTGCAAGGGGTGGGAGGAGTGCGAGGCACATCCTCGAAGAGCCCGACCGCCCAAGCAGGCGGGATCGCGTAGGCTGATGGAGGCACGTTGCTGGGTGGGCAGTCAGACATCACCGACAGAAGGAACAGTCACAGGATGCTTTGCTTGGAATATATGCACCGCGTGCAAGAATCTTTCGCCCCTTGTGGTTGTCTGGGATCTGCACGTAAAGCCGCAGCTGCCAGAACGGCCGGGTGCTGCACGGCCTTGCTCCAGATCTCTTCAAAGTTGTGGCCGGTCTGATTGGGCAGAGGTGCTTGAGAGTATCCCGGTTTCATCACCCTTGTAGCCTCCATGGCAAGCTCCCGAAAGCTCTGCCAGTGCAGAAAGACCACGGCACTTTGGGCCGCGGCTGTGCCTCGAGCTTTTCAAGCCTTGCAGCCTTTGGACACCGTGGAAGCTTTTCCGGAAGACTCGGCTTAAACACATCCAGCACTTTCTTGTCCGCTTGTTACTGCATGCACAGTCACACGTGCGCAGGGTTTTCCTGAACCCGCTTCTGTTCCGGTTTAGGGTAGGGTTTAGGGTGAAATGCCTTGCAAGGTGTAGCAGGGCAGTGCTGCCAGTGCCTTGGACACCCGCAGTTGCCTTCGCTGCGGTCCGATTGGTCCGTCATGAAGCAGGGGCTTCTTTCCACCAGAGGCTCGGGCTTCCCTGCAGTTCCTTGAGCTCTTGGGCCTAGCTAGCTCACTATCCCCGCTACCATCCTTTTTGCCCTTGCTGTCCTCCTCTTGCTCTCCGCCGACCCCTGCTGCGCCCCTTCTCCGCTCCGACTTGCCGCTTCCGCGTCGAGACTCCCCGTTGCTCACGCGGCTCACGAGGGCGGCTTTCTTCTCTGCCCTCGCAGCTCAAACAGCCCAACAGGCCCCAAGCCAAAGGCACTGACGCAAACCTCTTCTTGAGCAGGAGCCCCTGACCCTCAGCCGTCCGGCAAAGAGAAGCCTCTGATGGTACCCTTGGTGGACTCGGGAATCTTCCACGGCAATTGCACGTGGGCTGGCCCTTGAGGGTGCACCCATGCGACAAAGCAAGGAGTCTAAAGCAGGCCCCTGCCTTGCCCTTTTAAGGAGTTACTGAGGCCTCAAAAAAAGGCCTTCATCTGTAGGCCTGTTCGGGTAGCTTCTTGTTTCTGCCAAGGAATATGAGGCCCGGGCTTCCTACGGGATCTACGGGATGTGGAATGGCTACCGCCATGACTCACGGGCACGCTTGGGCTGCTAGGGACCGCAGAGAGCGCTCAGGGGCCCACCTAAGGAGTACAAGGGGAGTAAAGTAGGCCGAGAAAGATCAAAAAAGGAGCCTCGCGTCCGGTCGTGACGCAAACAAGACGAGTTCCAGTCATTGCCGCAAGTCTTCGAGGTTCACTGCTGGCCTCGCGGGCCTCGATTGGCACAGCCGATGTTCTCGCCTTGCCACAGTCCACTTTTCAACAAAGTCCACTTTTCAACGCTCGGTGCACTCGATGTTTAGATCACTTTGCCACGTGCTAGCTGCGATGGCTCAGGGAGTGGACCACTCCTATGCTGCCCTGACTGATGTTCCAGTTGCAGACGGAAGATGCAGCATGCAAGGCTTTGCACCTGCTCAGGGCATCGGCTGCAAGCGGCACTGCCTTCCCACGGAACATGCGAGGTGGCAGTGTGGAGTCTTTATGCAGAAAACTGGCAGATAGTCGTATCCCGACTACGTTTGGCACAGGGTTTTCGTTAAGGGTGCTTGACAAGAGAAGACAGCAGACCGCACAAGTGACTGGCATTGCCATCTCCTCGCAGCATCGACACTTCGTCCCAGGCCGCGCCAAACTCGTCTGCATTCCTTGTCGCACAGAGCCCGTGAGGAAGCTCCACCACACCGCGCTGAAAAGACGTCGCTTCCGATGCCGTGCTTGCCTTTCATCCCAGTGAGGCCAGCTTCTCAGGTGCCTGCGGGCAGCTTGCTGGGGTCGTAGACCATCATCCGCCGAAGAGAGCACCGGGCCTAGTTTCGGGAGTACCGTGCGAGGTCCATGTGGACTTGAACGGGCTCTCAGATTTGCCTGTGGCGAATGTACTCCGGCTGCAGCTCGGCGTATGCGGCGCGCACTTGGTGTCCTCGATGATTTGAGCACAGGCAGAGCACAAGGCAACAGCCCTCCTCGTAGCCCAATGTGTACTGTTCAATGACAGTACGTAGGCCGAGGACGATCAACAAAGGATCATTCCGTCCAGCTCCAGTTCTTGTGGCAAGTCTTCGAGGTTCAATGCTGGCCTCGCGGGCCTCGATTGGCACAGCCGATGTGCTCGCCTTGCCACAGTCCGCTTTTCAACGCTCGGTGCACTCGATGTTTAGAACACTTTGCCAACGGCTCACCGTTGTGACCAAGGGTGTGGACCACTCCTCTGCCACCCTGGCTGATGCTCCGGTTTCCGATGGAAGATGCAGCATGCAAGGCCCGCCACTGCATGCGGCACCATAGTCTAAGGTGCAGCCGCGAGCCTGCTGCAGGCAATGCCCGGACGCGCACGCCCACACAGCTGTTGCATGAGGCCTTAACGTAGCCTGCACGTAGCCTGCACGGCAGAGTGCTCCCGGTCGCGCCTGATTTGAAAGAGGTCTCCCGGATCTCCCTAGAAGCCCCCGGCGAGGCCCCCCGGTAAGGTCGGTGTCTATTTTTGGATCTTCCCTCCTCGCGGTATCGGCTGCGAAGTGGGACCTTCCAAGCTGCGAGAAGCCAGAAGCATCGGACACTGCATGATTTCTGAGGGCTCCCTCGGCCGGTTGTCAAAAACCAGGTTTTCTGGCTTTCTCTTCCGCTGTTGCTGACTGTCAGCATGGCGCCCTCATTAAACCTTAAGCGAGATAGAAACTCTATTTGCAGCATTCTTGTGAGCGTCGCCAACTCAGACTCCTGAGAGTCCGGACGGCCAGCCGCTCCGTCCTCTCCATGAAGACAATTCCTAACGATGAGGGGCTTGTGACGCCCGTGCTTCCACGTGCTTTTCTTGTGTCGTAGAAGCCGCACGGAGAGGTTCAACATGGATCAGCTCCGGGCTTCGACATGGTATGCCGGGCTTGAAGATGCCATTGGGGCCAGCGAGGCTCCGTGGTCCCGACTCTGCACGTGGCCCCTATCAGCTCGTGTATCCCGTATTCCTGACCTCGGCCTCGGGCAAGAGGATGAGCGAAATCAAGTTTGTGCGATGCTTACCAGCCAGCTCACCTGGCTGCGTGGCTCAACCAGGACGGCTTGACTTGTACAACTTTTAGACTTATACTTTCGTAGACTATACCCCACCACTAGGGGCCCTAAAAAAGAGGCACAAAGCATCCGGAGGATGAAGTTCCGTCACGCAGTCTTAGCAGCCCGGGCTTAGGCAGTTCTCACGTGGCCTACCTGGCCCAAGCTGCTTCGGAGACACCTGGCGATACTTCAATACTTCATGCCTCCCCCTAAACTTTTGCATATCCGGGCCTGGTGTATTTTGTTCCTACAAAAATCTTGTAAGAATGTCTTCTCTGCCCTCGATAGAGAGAGTCCCTTCGGGCGGGTGTGCGCGCCACACCCCTCGCACGCTGCGGCTTGCGTTCTTTGGCACGGCCCTCAGCCAGAAGCCTCTGTACTGTGCGCTCCGCAGCGGACCGGCCCGAAGTGCTTGGCCTCTGTGGAGCACGGCAGCATGAGTGGCAAATGTTTCACATGCCAGCGCTTCCTTCGCAGGAAGTTGGTGAGCCTAGAGCCGGTGCAAAGAGATCTCCGGCTCTTGCAACAACGCTGGCGAAGAAAGCAGGTGCGCATTGTACGGGTTCGCTGTATGTTTCGGGTCGTAGGTACCGCAACTGGGTTTGTCATGGGCCCTCAAGCAGCGCCTGAGCCCTCAACCCTTCTTAGAGCCCTACTTAGAACCTTTCTCATATAAGCTTGCCTGTGTGATCAAGCCAAACGCCTGAGTGACGGCGCGATGTTCGGGCCTTCTTGGCAGTTCGGCTTCATAGAGCTCCATAAGGGCTTGCAGAGCTTATAATGCAATACAACTTGTAATGATACTATGTACTGCCATAGTGCTACTTAAGCAGAACACATAACATAATTCACAGTTGTATGTGCTTTGCATAAAGTTATCAACCCATACAAAACAAACAAGGGTTTGGAGTTTAAGGCTGTGCTTTTTCTGGCAGGGCGTCTCTTTCATTGGCTGCCAGGGTTCAGGAACCTCTCCCCCACACCCCTCGCTCCCAAACAGGGAGCTTATAGGCACAACCCTAAACCCTAAACCCTAAACCCTAAACCCCAAACCCTAAACCCTAAACCCTAACCCCTAAACCCTAAACCCTAAACCCTAAGCCTTGCAGGGGTTGTAAGCAATGGCTCCGAGGCTGGCTGATGTTGAAGTCGCAAAGGCAGGGCAGTGCATGGCATACGGAAGACGCAAAACTAGGGAAGGGTGTACGTCTTAAGGGTTTTGTTTCGGGTCATTGTGACGGTTTCTGAATGTCTTACAGGTTTCTTTGGGATTTTGTTTAGGCTCCTGAACTCATGCAACGCTTGTCGCCGGCCGGCAGGATATTGCTTCGATTCGGTCTGAACTCCTCTTATGGCGTCAAGGTTCTGTGAATTGGGAGTGGAAGCTTCCCGTAGCCTTGACCACGAGGCATCGACCGTTTGTTCACTGTGCATGTCTGCTGTACGTTGTGCAGGTGGTATTGGCCTAGTATTGGCAGCACTGTAATCACCATCGGACAAGTGTCCGGCTGGAGCCATGGATCCGCGAAACCGGATCTACTTGCCGGGTTCTCGGCATATCATGACCATCATGCCTAAGGATTATGCGGATACTCCAAGCCCTGCTGGGACCCCACAGAATTGCGTAATGATAGTCGATTTCGGACTTCTGCTTGGGCAGGTCTCCAAAGAGACCGTGAGAGGGCACAAATTCAGGACGGCCCCCCACAACCCCAAACCCCCCCAAATAAACCCCGAGCCACGCCTTCTGCCGTTCCTTAGTGGCTGAGTCGGGGAGAGCAAGGCCTCCGTGCGGGAGTGAAAACTCTTCAATGGTCCTCAGCTTTTCCGTTTGGGGGGAGTTCAGGAATCTGGTATCTTAAGCCCTGAACCCTATTTAGGGTTGAGGGTTATGGGCACCTGAAGCCCTAAACCCCCAACTCCAAACCTTTCTGTAAGTATCCAGGAAGCCAAGACAGCTTCATCGGCGCTTCGAAGTTGGGTTAGAAGTCAAAGCACCCCGACAGGTTTAAATCCCAAGTATGTGCCGGTTATAATGGTTGCCCCACTTATCGCCCGCTAGGGTTGAGGAGTGTGGGGCTTAGGAGTTTAGGGTTTCAGGGTGTGGAGTTGAAGGGTTCTGGGGTTTTGTGAGCGCGGTTAGGCTTTAGGTTTCTTTCGACCTTCCTTAAACCCTGTGGCCAAAGTCTGCCGAGGTTCAAACATTTTGGCAGTGGGCTTGGAGCTGAGACCGGGCGTGGCTGGCTCATTTTTTTCGCACCTACTCCCTACTGGGAGGTCATGGGCAGGGAAAACTGTGTTGACATGCCTGCTTTTGAGAATAGCCCTATTGGTCATGGAGGCTCCCTAAGGCTCCGATCACTGTGGCACAGACAGTGGACCCTTGAGCCTCTACAACCGCAACATCTCCAAGCCCCAAGCCCCTTCAGTCCCACCAAGAAATGCAAAGTGACATACATTTTGAAAAGAGTGATGACACTAAAGCTAGCAGAGAAAAGATCATGCGCTGAAGCCATATCACAAGCCCTGTACCCTGAACTCTAAAGGGCTGGCTTTCGGAATTGTGTATGGTCCTTTGCAGGGTTCCTATCGTCGTAGGGATCCTCATAGCCAGGTCTCCAAGAGGACCATCTTGTAGATGCCAGCCAACCCCCATAGATCCTGCAAATTCTTACGCCTGACTGACTCTCCCAGACCCATCCTGCTAAGCCCTTGCCGAGTTTCCATTTCAGTCCCCTGCATTTCTGGGGTTCCTAAACTGCAAAAATGCTCCGTGTGACACTTGGGGGCCCAAAAGAAACTGTCATTTTCACGACGGCCTCTGCGCAGGAGACCGTGCTAGCGATTGCCGCATGCGCATGCGGTCCTTGCTTTCCCTAAGCCCCAAGCCCTTAGCCCTAAACCCTAAGCCCTAAGCCCTAAACCCTAAACCCTAAACCCCAAACCCTAACCCTAAACCCTAAACCCTAAACACCCTTAGCTGATCTTCTGAGAGCTTCTGCACTGTCGCCTGAGTCACGGAACGCCCGAGCGCTCCCCAAGCCCAATGGCCATCAGACTCTGGAGCCCGAACCCTCACATTTATGACTTCAAGAGCCAATGGCCTTCTGTGCCTCGGCGCCGCAGCCCTCAACCCAGCTGCCTGCTCCCCTGCGTGCCGCGAGAATGCGGACTGCAAGCCCCCCCCGAGACTGAGCTGCCGCTAAGGTACTTAAGTCAAGGGGCTTAGTGCTTCCGCTTGAAGGTTTTTAAGAACTGAAAGAAGTTACAGTACTATGGGTATGTGGTACTTAAACAAAAACAGTTTACGGTGACCCAATCGAGTTTCCTTTAAGAAGCCAACCTAGGAGTCCCCTGGCCTCCGCTGTGTTTTGGCCTCCTTTAGCCTGGCAATCTGCCTGGCGCCGCGGCTGCGCCGCGAGCGGGGAGAGACGCTTCGGGAGCCTTGAAGAGCAGGGCCCCTTTCGTTGCGCTTGGAGCTTACATGCTAAGGCGCGCAGAAGGACGCCGTATAGTAGGGTTGCTGAACTAACTTATAGTGAACCCGTGCCTTTGTGTGGGCCATCCACACACCCCACCTGTACTCGAGCAGGCAGCTGGAAGGGAGGTAGCCGACCAAGAGTGTGATTGACTGAATGCATGCCGCTAGCCCCTTGTGGTAGCAGTTAGGATAAAAACTAAGAT